CAAAGCATAATGACGTTAGTGTTCCAAGAGCATACGGTCACCAGAGCATCCATGCCCAAAGCATAATGACGTTAGTGTTCCAAGAGCATACGGTCACCAGAGCATCCATGCCCAAAGCATAATGACGTTAGTGTTCCAAGAGCATACGGTCACCAGAGCATCGTTAGTGTTCCAAGAGCATACGGTCACCAGAGCAACCGTGGCCAAAGCATAATGACGTTCGTGTTCCAGAGCATACGGTCACCAGCGCATCAATGCCCAAACCATAATATCGTCTAGTTGGGAATATTTTCTTTGTTCAGACCGTTAATGCCCAAAGGATACGGCAAGAAACATCCAAAGTGTTTCTAAGTGTTTCTCCTGGATGCCTGTCTTGCTGAGGCGGCCTGTTAGGTTGCATGTTTTTCTGCCTGAAGCTCTGCGGGTTGGCGGTCTCTTTCAAGTGGACTACATGTATATATGCAGAGATCTTTTATCTTCAGCATGGGGGCTAAACTAGGATAGGGAATACATCAGGAGGCCACGAGACATACCCACATATATATATATACATATCATGAAGCCTGAGGACAGTCATCTTTTGGCTGTCCATGAGGACACAGGGGTAAGGATTTGGGGCTGCAGGTTTAGGATTTAGCGTTTAGGATTTAGGTTTTAGGGTTTTGGGAGGGGTCAAAAGTTTTGGTTGTAGGGGTCAGGGTTGGTGGTTTAGGACCCAGGGTTAGTGTTTACAGCCCTCTCCGGAAGAAGGAGAGGAAAAAGTGGGGGCTTCAAAAGCAACGATGGGTTGCAGCGGTTTAGGGTGTAGGGTATTGGGACAACCATTTTGGGGGATCCGAGTTGAAAAATTGAAGCCTTCCACATGATTGCGGGCCTTGTTCTTCACCTTGCTTGGTGCGTCTCGGAACCCATAGATACCCTCTGCCGTACTCCTAGATCCCTAGGTCAGAAGGCATAGCTCGAATTCTCCGGCTCCTGCACCCCCCCAACGCTGACAATGGCCGAACTCTACATCAGCTTACTGGCGTCTAGCCTGACTTGTACATCTTGGGGTTATATATAAGGATATTACCCCAATAATCGAGAATGAAATGGAAAAGAACATGGGAAATGGAATGGAAACCCTAGGTCCCTTTGAAGGGAGAGGGTGGGGGAGCAGACACATAGGCCTGTATAATCCGTCTTAATGGTACGCAGATTCACCCCCCAGCTTCCCGAAGCACCAGTAAGCCTAAAACCTGAAGCCCCCAGCTTCAATGTTCTTATCCATTGCCCCGCCCTTTTCAAGTAACAGCAAGTTCTTGCCTCTGGACCCCACAGCAGGAAAGGTGCGAAGGGCCGAAGAAGGCTTCCCCTGTCTAAACCCCGTAAACCCTAAGCCCCAAACCCTAAACCCTAAGCCCTACATCCTAAACCCTAAGACTTAAACCCTAAGCCCTACACCCCTAAACCATAAGCCCTACACCCCCAATTCCTAAACCCTTTACCAGGGCTCGCCGGCGGAGGGATCGGCACAATGCCATCCTGAGCCAGAAACCTTGCCACCAGATTGGCGGCGGCTCCTGTGCTCCTTTTGTTGGGCTTAGGGTTTAAGGGTTTGGAGTTTCAGGGTTTAGAGTTTAGGGTTTAAGGGTTTAGGGCTCTAAAGGGTTTAGGGATTAGGGTTTAGAGTTTAGAGTTTAGGGTTTAGAGGCTGATTATTCCCAAATACTGGAGACGGAAAAGAAGATGGAATATGAAACGGAAAGTGGTTTGGGGTAGCTGCACCCCAGTCTAAAGTGAGTAGACTCATTGCGTTTTGGAACATTTGCTTTCATGAATTTTCCTGAGCCATGTTTATGTTTTTGCTTACTTTGATGTTCAAGTAGGATTTAGGGTCTAGGTTTTGGGTTTCAGAGTTTCGGCTAGGTCTGGGGGCTGAGGGCTCCTGAAAACAACTGTTTCAAGTATTTCAATGTGTCACCGTGGGGAGTTTTTAGTCTTTGGGGTGGTGACGTTAGGGGCAGAGGTTTATTTCAGGTCCTTTCAGGTACCAGAACCAAGCGGAAAATTGCAAATTTAGCAGCAACTACGCACGGCGTATAGATGTTTGTACGGATTCTAGCTTATCAGGGAGGCCTGAAGAATTACCAATGCCTTTCTGAGATGTACTTGAGGTACCCTATGCCATATGCCATGCTTCTACAGCCAATCCAGGGCCTTAATAGGTAATTGTTTGGGCTACATTGCGAGAAAAGGGCTTGCGACGCAATCTCGTAGTGGATTGTTCGCATCGCCAACTTTGGAGCTTGAGCCTAGTTGGGTTTAGGGTTTAGTGTCAGAAAATTGAACTCTCCAAATAAAACTACTTGCTGGTGGGGGGAAAGGTTCTGGGAACACAGGGCTTAAGCCCTAAACCCTCAACCCTGAACCCTAAGCCGGCCAAGGAAAAACATCCGAGCCAACATCGCATTTCAGGCTATGATGGCTTTGGCTTGGGGCACAGCGATGGGGCCGGTGTTTGACAAGCCCTTTGGATTCCATCCGGGGGTTTAGGGTGTTGGGCTTAGGGTCCCGAAGCCCTACACCCGATAAACCCTAGATCCAGATTGTCATCTCTACAAGTCATGCTTCTGAAGCTAGTAACAGACGAAGGTCACAGGTTAGTGCGCATCTCTTTTCCGGCTTCGAGCTTTGCTAGTCTAACCCGGCCCAAGGGTCAAAGTACCAAGGTTCTTTGAGTTCCCCCCATTCCTATTGCCCAAACCCCCATGTACTTCCTATGCTTACTGTCATGGGTTTCCTTACCACCCTCCTTTATACTATCCCTTTCCCTAGATTCCCCCTCAACTAACCTTAATTAGGCCGCCTAGCTATCCCTCAATCGCCTTAATTAAGCTGGGAGCTTGGGGAAGTAGCATAGAGCGGGGTAGTAACCTAGACCCTGATACTGGGGGTAGTAGGGATAAGTGAATACATTACATAGGGTTACGGGTTTAGGGTATTTGGACCCTTACAGTGTGAAATAATCCTCTTGTATTCTGCCATCACAAGGTCTGGTCCCACCAATTAGGTGGCTTTAAGGACCAGAGCAGACCCTAAACCCTGAACCCTAAACCCTAAACCCTGAACCCTAAACCCTAAACCCTGAACCCTAAACCCTAAACCCTGAACCCTAAACCGACTAGTCAATTACTTGAGATTTCGGAGCAGAGCACGCTGAAGTAGGAGCCCTCGGAGCTATGAGCTATGAACCCTCAAGGGGTTTAGGGTTTAGGATTCAGGGTTGAGGGTTTAGGGTTTAGGGTTTAGAGTTTAGGGTTTAGGGTTTAGGGTTTTAGGGTTTAGGGTTTAGGGTTTAGGGTGAACCATCAGGCAGTACGGCAGGCGGCCATAGCAAACAAAGCAACCTCTCTTCGACCTGGTACGTCTGAGATTCCCAAGGACTTGTAGTGTTAGATGCCTTCTCACTGTTCACTGTTGTGTATTCACGCTTGGCCTTTACCAATCTTTGTTCAAAGGCACGATAACAAGATGTGCCAGGTGCCCTGCATAGAAATGGCTGTAGGTCGGCCGCGGCGGGGAGAACACAGGTTATGACCTCTGCAGGTAACCATAAACCCTAAACCCTAAACCCCTAAACCCCTAAACTAACCACCTCCTCCCCATATTGCTGCCTTTCGGATTTGTGTTTAGGGCCTCGAGGGCAGCCCTGAGCACCCGAACCCAAGTTCTGAAACCCCCAAACCCTAAATGGGTGGTTGTCAAAATTATAGTCCCTTTGTGGTTCCCCACTATAATACAGTACCTAATATTTAGGGTACCCAAAAAGGGACCATAATTTTGACAACCACCCAAATGACTAGACCCCTCAGTTAATCACCGGAGTGTGAGCCCTAAACCCAAAACGCCCTGTACTCGGCCAATCCCAGCCTGTAGAACCGAAGCAAAGTACCCTTGCCATCTTGAGATAGGACATATTGGAAATGAAGTTTGTACATGTCTTGTTGGCTGTGCACAACACATGTTGCAAGTTGTTCTTTGACACTAACCCTGACTCAGGTATCTCTTCCTTCTTGGCTCTGGATTGGCTAAAGGGCCAAAGTTTATCCCTGCCATGCATGCCAACTCCCTGGTAGGCGCAAGCAGCAGGGGAGGGGTTCCCCAATGTCTGATTTCGGGTTTGGGGTTTCCGGTGTAGGTTCTAGGGTTTATAGTTGGTCCAAGACTTGATCAGTAGGTTTATGGTTCTGGATGCATTTAGCTTTTTAAAGCTTTCACGCTGAGGAGGTTTTAGTTACCCACGCCATAGTAGGGGTTCTACAACATAGCCCAGGCCCCTAATTAATAACCCCCCCCCCCCTCGCCTTAATAGGGTTCATAATAATAATAGGGATCCTTCCATTTAGGCCCTTAAAAGGAGTGGGTTTATTAATCATGGGTCTACATTATCACATGGCCAGAATCGGGTCCCGATTTTGGGGCTTGGGGTGACTAAAATCCCCCTGTCCTTGGGATCGACTCCTTCATTGATTACAAGCGAGACTGAAGCATCAAGGAAGCCTGGCCTTGAAGTTAACCCTAAGGGTCCAAGGACCCAAGTAATGGGGTTTTAGGGCCCAAGTACCATTTATATTAGAGTATTTGGGCCCTAAAATCCTATTATTTGGGTCCTCGGACCCTTAGGGTAATTGAAGTTGTGGGATATGGGGTCGCTGGAGTTTTCTTGGGTATAGACTGCGATAGAGGTGACATCGTGTTTCAGTCTGGATGTGTTTGGAACAGTAGGTAGTGGGTTCAAACCAGAGTGCACACATTCCTGGCACGGAAACTGAACCCCAACCTTGAAACTTCACCCCAACAAATACAACCCCCGCAACCTGAAAAAAGCAAACTGTAATCGGTTGAACCTTATTATGGAGACTTCCAAGTTAAGTTTAGACTGCGTGCAGGTGCACACATCATGTTTGATTGCCTGCCGGTTCTGGGAATAGTGTTTGCTCCATATACACTGACCCCTAAACGTCAAAAATTGAATTCTAGTCCGCCTTGCAGGTGTGGCCGAAAGCGTCTCAGGCCTCACCAGGCAAGGCTTGAGGGGCAACGGCTTAGGGCTTGGGTTTCCCGATTCACATTCTTCCTTGTTGTTGTTCAATGGGCTTGTTGTTCTCGCCGCACTAATATTGCCATCCGTATAATGACGATGGTCAGCAATATTATGATGATGACAATGATGCTGACAGGACAGCGACTCGTATTATCAGGGTCAACCTGCGTAGAGAATACCACCCAATTTGGAAGGTAGTCTGGCATCTCACTGGTCTCTACTACGCCACTACATACTACTACCCTTCCCCAGCCCCCCCCACTTAATTAGACTTTCTGACTTACTGAGTAATACTTAGGGCAAAGTAAGGGACCTCCTTTGGGGGGGTAGTACTTAAAGGAGGTTGTAGGGGAACTCATGGTAACTGTTTAGCATCCCAGGTTTTCGTTCTATACACCTTTACAAACCATCAGCCCTGAAACAAGAAATCCGTGAAGCCTGATAACCCCAAACCCAGAACTCAGTATCCTGAGCACTAAAAAGTCTGAACCTGGAACACACTAAGATTTGTGCCCTAAACCCTTCTTCCAGGGAGCCAGGGATATCTCTAGTACATGTATCCATGACTTTGTTTACCTCTAGCTTCCCTAAAAACTCCTATTAGTAGGGGTGTCGAATTTAGGATCTTCAGCTGCAGGTCAATGGGGTTGTAGGTAGGATTTACGCCCGCGACCGTGTAAATCCTGCCAAATGCCGCCAGCCTCATCGTTGCCATCCCGGTCGGCTACATCGTCGACCGGCCACTGGATCATAATCTCATTTTTAAACCAAAGGGGGCCCGCAACTTTGATAATGACCCGCATGGTTAGCTTTTTGGGCCTAAACCCTAAACCCTGAATTTTAGGGGCTGGCCTAGGCCTAAACCCTGAACCCTGGGTTTAGGGTTAGGGGCTTGGCAGGCTGATGGCAAGCGAAGCCTCGAGTAGGTTGGCCCCGAAAACCTGGGGCCCAGCAAAACAAGGCAGTTTGGGGTTTGAGGTTGTAGGGTCCCCCAATATAGACCTTCAAAATTCTATAGACCCTATCATAAGTCCCCCCAAACAAGTACCCTTACTTTTGGGAAACCCTCCCATAAACGCACACCTTGCCAAGTCCCTTGGCTTTACCTGTAACCCCAATTGCCCACAGTTTAACTGTAGCTACTTCCCAACTAGTAGACAGAACCTATAAAAACTGAGGGTAGTAGTTGGGTTTCGGGGTAATCCCCTAAACCCTAATCCCCAAACCCTAAACCTTCAACCCCAAGCCCTACATCCTAAACCCCAAACCCTAAACCTTAAACCCCAAACCCTAAACCCTAAATCCTAAAGTCAGGGCCGTGCCGTACCGGCATTTCCAAGGAACATAAACCGAGGAGAAAAGGTCCAACAAAAAAAATCCTAAAGTCATAAGGCAGCCCACTAAACGAGCGCGACTCTGTCGAATGTCCTGCGGCTGCGCTCTTCTGTCAGTCGCTGGGATTCCGACGGTGGAGATTTTTGGGGTTTTCCCTAAGGGTCCAAGTACCAAAGAAGGGTTTAGGGTTTAGGGTTTAGGGTTCATATACTTACCCAAAACCTTTACTATAATTACTATTACCCAAAACCCAAGTACCTAATTACTGGGTACTTGGACGACCCTTAGGGTTTAGGGGGTTTAGAGTTTAGAGTTTGTGCTTAGAGTTAGGGAGCTTAGGGGTTAAGGGGTTTATCGTTTAGGGGTTCAGGTTTTTAGGGTTTAGGGCTTAGTTTTTTACTGTTTAGGGGGTAGGGTTTCAGGGGTGAGGGTTTAGGATAGTGTTGCGTTTGATGCGAAATCCATGCACTCTAAGTACCTTCGTACGAACCTCATAGCTTCGGCATTATGGCGGCAAGGCAAGGATTTCAGTAAACCCTAAACGTACAGTGCCCTAAATCAGAACCCCCCCAGTCCGCAAATCACTGCCTTTACCGCTATGCTATGCCGTGCCAGCCAGGCGCTGAGAATCATGGTCTACCTTCCCCGATTTTCCTATTATCTTGGAGTATTTTTTGAGTAGCCCAAAACTCTATTTCCTATTATCTTGGGTGAAAACGACCCATTATTTTGAGTAACTCGGCCTAAACGCTAACCCTTAACCCTACGATGAGTTATTCTTATCGCTTTACGGTGCGGCCTCAGTCAAGGTGGTCGCTGGCTTCATTGCAATTCTGACGCTGAGCTGCGCTTGGCAAGTTTGAGAGATACATGGGGGTTTCCCAAAATTAGAGGTGCCTTTTTGGGTGTCCTCATAATAAGGATTATAGCATTTAGGGGTCTATATTGGGGGTCCCTCTAGTTAGGGAAAGTACCACATAGGGGTTTCTATAGATAGGGAAAAATGCCCGAGTATGTTAGATTTCCATTGTAGGACCCCTTACATTTTTGGGAAACGCCCACATGTGCTCTGTGTGCGGCTTTAACGTGAGCATCTGCATGTTTTCTCGATGTGGCCGTCGCTTCGCACACGACATCTTGTTCTCATAGGTAAGAATATTTATAGACTCTAAGCCCCAGGGTAAGAAGCTAAATCGCTTGTTTGATTCCCTCGAAGAAGCAGCCAGCTCTCCCTGAGCAGAGTGGTGTTCCAAACCCTGAGACCCACACCCTCAACCGAGTCATTGCAGACATGCTCCATTTCCTAGATCCTAAACCACCCATGACCCGGAGTGATCCAAGCAGTGAAGGACAGACGAACTGCTGATTCTGACGGTCATGCTTGTAAGCTGCTTGGCCAGTGTAGGGTTTAGGGTTTAGGGTAGGGATAGGGATTACAGGGGATATATTGGGGTTATATAGGGATAATGTAATGTAAAAGGAAATGGAAACTACCACTTAGGGAGTGTTGCGTAAGAGTTTACCTTTCTGCGCATACATGAGCTGTAGTCTTAACTTCTAGTATCCCCCTTGATAACCGCTGCAATGCTCCCCCATATAATCCCCATATAACCCCCTTTCAGAGGTTGAGACTGTACTCACATGAACCTTATCAGGTATCAACTAGACCAGACAGGTCTTGACATGTCAAGTAGACCCAGGCCCCAGTCAGTAGCACCTACTACAGATTGGCTGTCATAGGAATCTATGTTGAGCGCTAGGGAAGCATCTTAATTTTGACAGCTGATTCTGCATCATTACCAATGATGACACCTAAACCCTAAACCCTAGACCCATTACCAATGATCAAACTAGAGTTTCGTAGCACACCTGCCTAGCATTGACTGTCTCCGGAAAACAGAACGAGCTTGATCTGGTCCAAAGGCCAGTAGGATGATAAGTAGGCATATATTCAGTCCTCAAGATGTTAAAGTCTGAACACACATAAAGAGCTGATAGGGGGATATGTAGGGGTTATATAGAGATGATGGAAACGAACATGGGAACGACTATTCAGGTTTAGGGTGTAGGGTTGAAGATCAGGACCGTTTCGCAACATGTTCGGAAGAACAATGAAGAACATTATCGGGCTTGGTGCCTCCAAACCTCTAGGACTCTAGGATAGGACCTAAATACTTGTCTGGAAGTGTTGCTCCGTAATCCCCCAACACATCATTCCCAAAGTCTCAACTCTCAGCTACAAACCCTTGCTGATAGTCGCTAGATTGGCTACATGCCATCACCGAGCAACCTGATGCCCCGTAAAAAGAGGTAACAATACCAAAGCGTCACGTGTAACACGAGTTTATGGCAGAAAAGTTCGTGTAGTCTAGGATAAGCCCTTTCCATAGAACAGGCCCCCTTTTTTAGGTACATAGCTATCCCTACTGCAGTTTTTAAGCCCCTTGCAGAATACAGGTTTTGGCGCCTTCATGGAGCTCAGCTCCAGTGCTACGGATGCGATCTTTGCTGACAGCATCCCCCCCGGCGAGCGATCTTCGTGACATGGCTGCTAATTTGGGTCATTCCCCCACCCAGTAACTGTCCTTAAAGGGGGCCTTATTGAGGGCCTATCATAATTCCTATTACCCCTTGTGGTAACTGTTACTGTAAGGGGGAATAACCCAACTGCTAATGTTTTCAACACCTTCCACCAACCATAATGCTGAGTACTGGCTATGCTAGAGGAACCGATAATTCATTGGCAATGATGCTTCACGCTAGAGGTTAGGCGTGAATAATCGCCATGCTTTTGTGATAATGAGTATAAGAACACTAGAGCCCCCACACATACAGAAAGGCTGTATTTCCCTTTGGGTTGCCATTTATTTTCAGACTATAGTTTCATGCACTCTTGCATGGTTTCAATTACTGAAAACCCCTAGGTATAGTTATAGGGGTTTCAGTGAGCATACAGGGCGCAATGAAGGACTGAAGGTATTATTCCCCATGCACGTACAATTCAATGAGCAAGGATGTCGAGCATGCTCCTTACCCTAGAAGCTCAGGAACCCATATAGTAGGTCCTTGGGTTACAGATAATATAAAATTATGTAGGGACTTAAGGACAGGAACCCAATATATAGGTAACTGGGCTTCTAGGGATAGATAAGAAATGCTCATAGGGTCAAGGTAGAACCCACTCGAAAACATCGTTCGGTTCTTTTCGGCGCATATTCAGCTTGTTCAAAGGCCTGGTGGATATGGTTGACATTAACGATCCTGCATGAATGTCAGTACCTCATACTTTGGGAAGTATGCTATGACAATATACTAAGGTCAAGCAGATTTTTCAGTTTCCCCAACCCCTGAACTTTAAACCATAAACCCTAAACCTCACTTGCAAATGGTATCATAGTATACGAAGCTCATGCAGAATTTTCAGTACATCAACAGTAGCTTAGGCGTCGGGATCCCAAATCTCCGCAGAAATGTTAGTAGGACCCCCTACAACAATACCAAGTGCACATGAGCTACTGTCGATACTAGCTTTAAAAGGGGAACATGGGGGACGAAACCGACATGATACAAATTCGGTACTTGGAGGGTCAGGTGGATCTAGCACGTAGGCAAACATTTTTTGGTCTCTAGGCCCTAAATCCTAAACCCTTCATAAGTATTCTTACCAAGTCGCTCGAACCCTCCACGTGTCTAAACCTTTTAGGGACCGACACAGAAGCCCCACAGGAGCTTGACCAGATTCGATCTTGGAGAACAATCTGGGTTGCTGTTAAGAAATTTAAATTAAGTTACGATATTGGGGAAACCCTATTATTTACTATGTATACCCATTATGGTAACTTAATTTAAGTTTCTTAACAGCAACCCAGCAATCTGGGGATGTCCAGAAGATGAATTTCATTTTTTCCCTAGGACTCCCAGGTACTTAAATGGTAGGTTCCTGGGCTATGTAACTATAGGGTATATAGAACCTAGAACCCAGTATTTAGGTAACTGGAGCCCTAGGGTTTGTTAACCAAAAACCTCCCCCCCCCCAACAATAAGCAGCCAAAGATTCACCCTCTGTCGCCGCAGGCAGATAATCACGTTGTGGTAGTCGGTTGTAAGCGGAATCAGCACACAATTTCAATCGAAGAGTCCAAAGTATACAACTATAATATAATCCCACAAATCTAAGCAATGATTGCTACTACCAGGAGCCCAGAGTTGTATACTGCCCCCGCGAAGTTCTCATCAAGGTACTATGTCACCAACCCTAAACCCTAAACCCAGGTACTACGTTACCAAGTCGGTGCTGACCACGGTCGGCAGCGCGTGCGGGCCTGGAATCTCGGCTTTTATGCTGGCACTACTCGGCGACTGGTCGGCAAGTAGCTGTGGACGTAGGAAACCCTAGACCCTAAACTTATTAGTTGTTAGCAGGCTCAATTTAATCCCCATCTAGTATATCAGTATATTCCCACATTCCCTACTACCCCACAGTGAGTAAACCCCGAGGTTTGAGGTTTCAGGGTTCGGGACTTGGGGATTTGGCAAGGGAGGGTTGAGCTTGAGCTCTAGATTAAGCTTCTTGTGGGCTTGCTTCTAAAGGGATTCGCTTGGTCCATTAAGGGATTAGTAATGTAGACCCCTGATTAATAAACCCCCTCCCCTTAATAGGGATTATACTAGGGATCCTGATATTTAGCCCTTAAAAGGAGGGGGTTTCTCAATCAAGGGTCTATATTGAACCATCTAAACTCTAAACATTAAATCCTAGTTTCCACGGTCCATTAAGGGGTTATTAGGGGATATACGGTATTGCCCTTTAAGTAGGGTCCAAGCTGACACGTCTTCAGTTTCAGGTGAGAAGTTGCAGCTTTTTAAGCTGCCAGGTCTGAATCTTAGCGTTTGGGGTTTGAGGGTTTAAGTTTAGGTTCTAGGGTTTAAGTTTGGGTTCTAGGGTTGAAGTTAGGGCTTAGGGTTCAAGTTTAGGCTTTAGGGTTTTTGGGCTTTAGGGTGTGAGCCAAGTCTTCTTATCCTTGAAAAGGACTCCTCTCGTCTTGCTGGTGCTTAGAAGGGAATAAGTGAAGTCTATGTTATAGAAATAAGCCATAGTCTAAACTCCTTAAAGGGGGGTTATATAGGGGATTATTTAGGGGATTACTATAGGAGGTACTAAAGGTGTTACTAGGAGTTTAGACAATGGTTCATATGACTATGTAAGGATTCTATTCCGTATTCCCTCCTAGGCACCAGTGAGTCATCCACCCTGATGAGCATCTCCTGCTTGCTAACTACATAGGCCCAATCGTTCCCCAAGATGGAAAACGCCCACCCCAGGTGACAAGTGGCAGCCATACCAGATCAAGATTGTGATCGCCGGCGTCTCGAATGCAACCATGTGAGGACTGTCCTAAATTACTGTCAATACGGGGTCCTATATTTAGGTTCCTATTATAATACGGGGCCCTATATGAATTTCCACCAAAAACAGTATGTTAAGGAAACTTCCATGTGCATGCCTGAATCCGCAGATTTTGCAGCTCCTGTTTACCTCCGCACTACTTCAGTTCTTACAAAACAGGACCTGCAGCTAAGCCAACCCTAGCGTAGACTTAGCACGCCGGCTCCCCGGCAAGCCAGGGCGGATTTTGAAATCTTGCAGCATGGCTCCTGACACATTTATGTTCTGCCTTCAGCTGGTAGTGATTGTCTAGGGGGCCCGCATTGCGAAAGGCATGGAAGGGGATCAGGGCAATGTGAATCCGAGATTTGCTTGTCTCACCTTAATGCAGGGGTCCAACGAACACAGATACATCAAGGATCGAGTCGGGTTTCAGGTTTTTTTTTGAGGAAAATTACCCAGTGCCATCATAGAAGCGGCGTAAGCCCAGATGAGGTAGCTTCCCTGTCTTCTTCCGCACTTAAAGATTCCGCCCCAAGCACCTACGCCCTACATGTGGGCTGATTTTGTGGTGGTTGCAATGCGAGAGAGCAACTCGCTACCCCAAAGCAGCAGCTAAAGGTCTAGGTACACCCCAAAAGAGGGTGGCCTGGTTCCCCGTAAGACATCCCCCAGGCTCTACTAGAATACACTATCATATATCATAATCTAAAAGCAAATACATAAATATATATATATATATGTATATATGGCCCGTTTCTCTCCCTGCCCACATCAAACAAACTTACATCCCCGCACCTAAGCCCAAAAACCCTACACTGCCTTAAATCCTGCACCTCGGGTACTGCCCCCGCCAACAATTGGACAATAATCAAGATATACTTGCATATAGTCCTTAGTATGACCCCTGTTTCTGACTGTTCATGGATGGGGGCAGCACCCAACCAAGAATCACGACCCAAAACGCTGGACCCTAATTAAACCCCTAAACCCTAAACCCTAAACCCTTAACTCAACCTGTACCCAGCACGAGGTGGTTTGTTTCTTTTCCTCCCGACCCTGCTGCCTCTCTTCGTCTTCTGGGATCCCATCTTGCCACAGGCAACCGAGGCTGAGGCTGGCAGGGTCTTGTGGATAGTTCCCAAAAGTAGGGTTTAAGGGTTTAGGGTTTAGGGTTTAAGGGTTTAGGGTTTAAGGGTTTAGGGTTTAGGGTTTAGGTTCCTAAAAGTAGGGTCTTATTTGGGAGTTTCCCAAACTTAGGGGTACCTTATTGGGGGTCCCCATATTAAGGATTTTAGTATATTGGGGTTTATAGTGGGTACCCTAATTTTGGGAAACTACCATTTTGGTACCCCTAAATACTAGGTGCCGCACTATTTTATAGCCAAAAAGGGCCCCAAACTTTGGATTCAGGCTTATTTCGGGTTTGGTGATCCAAGATTTAGCGTTCGGTTGCGGTCTTGGGGGGTGCAGGGTTTGGGGCCTCAGGATATTGAGGGTTTAGGGCTTGAAAGTTTAATGTTTGGGGGTTGGGATGTGGATTATGGGGACCCCAAAAAGACCCCCTAATCTGGTAGACCCCCATTTGGTGTTGGAGCAGACGGTTAAGGCTGATACGTCGACAGGGCTTGGGGCATCGCATATTTAGCTTTTCCACTCGGTAGGAAACAGCTCATTTGGGTAGTATTTCTGGTTGGGAATATTAAGGTGTATAGAGTAAGATTACAACTTCATTTTCAATATCCCAGTTCACTTGTAAGAAGCATCGTATCTTGCTTCCAGAAAATCGCTGCTCAAGCGGCAACCGGGGTGTGTGAGTTCGTCCTCTTGGGTAGCTTCTCAAGTGCGCGGGCGCTCGCTCGTCTAGATGCGTAGGTCGCAGCGGTAGGTGTGAAGCGGGCGGGTGAGAGCTTCTACAAGCAGGAAGCTGTTAGGAGATTTGGCTTGAGGCCGGTCTAGCGTGAGCTACTTCTTACATAACCCCTAAACCCTAAACCCTAAATAGTAGTTTCCATTTTATTTTCCATTATCCCAGTACAACTTCAATAGAATCCCCCTACCATCCCTATGTATGCCTAATAACAGCATCTCACCAAGCTTAAGATTCTGACTTCGACAACTTGTTGCCCTAAGGGTCCAAGGACCCAAACAATAGGGATTTAGGGCCCAAATACCACTAGTGTTATAGTAATTGGGCCCTGAAAGCCTATTATTGGGTCCTTGGACCTTTAGGGTTGGACCGCGCTCAGGCCAGCAACACCTCCGCCACATCGGACGCGCAGAGTGAGGATGGAAGCACGCGGGCATCAACCGCCGACCCTGAGGCTCTGGATATTCGTGGGCACGGTTCTCAAAGCTGTTGGCTGGGTCATTGTTGGATGTAGCTTTTAATTGTTCCAGACTGACACCTAACCAGGAATATGAAATTCAGTTCTTATTGACATCCCAAGCTGGAACCAGTCAACTGGCCTCTACAGCAAAGCAAAGATCCTGATACCTGGCGCCATACAATTTAGGGTTTAGGGTTTAGCAACGCAAAATTGGAGGAGCCACTGGATGTGTGGTGTTTTTTGTTCATTTGATGGTAGGAGTTCGTTCTTCTTCGGGAAGGGCTGGGTAGGGAAACCCAAACCCTAAACCCTAAACCTAACCAGTATGCAGGAGGAAAAGAGGCGCTTTAATTTTTTTTTAAAAAGAGAAACTAACCAGAAAACATTCCATGATAGACCCTAGTATATCCTCATGTACCATAAAAAAACCATAGTATACCACAATAATGTACCATAATACTCCAAAATATACTACAATATACCCAAAATATAACAGTATACTCAAAAAATGTACCATAACAAATTCCAAAATAGACCATAATATACTATTCTACAGTCTCTGCAGGCAACGACTCATGTAGCGAGTGCCGAGCCTGAAGCTCCGAAGTGTTTGTGCCCCTGGGCCCATTAGGGTGTGGGGTTTACGGGTACCCTAAACCCTAAACCCTAAAACCCTAAACCCTACACCGCCTTTAGGGTGTGGGGTTTACGGGTTTTAGGCTAAGGCCTTTGGGTGAGTTTAGGGTTGGGGTTTAGGAGTAGGGGGTTTAGGGTTTAGGGTTTATAGGGTTCAGGGGTTTAAGGGTACCCTAAACCCTAAGCCCTAAACCTGGTTTTAGGGTTTAGGGTTAGGCTAAGGCCCTTGGGTGAGGGGTTTAGAGTTTAGGGTTGGGGTTTAGGAGTATGGGGTTTTAGAGTTTAGGGTTCAGGGGTTTAAGGGTGAGGGGTTCGGGGTAGGGGTTTAGGGTACCGGGCCTTGGGTGGTTCTAGAGTTGGGGCTTAGGGGTGTTAAGCTTGGGGGCTCAAGTTAGAGGTAGTACCAGGTAGCTATTAAAAGGGTTACCCCAGCACTCAAGATGTAGAGTGAGATTGGACCTTCCTTTTGTTCGTAGAATGTTACATTAAGGATACAAGCTTAATGCGTTCAACCACCCAAAACTACCGGGTCATAGGTACGTAGAATGACTATTGGGATTGTTGGTGTCCGCCCTGTTTGGGGGGTCCTTATTGCCGATTACCATAAAGCGAAGTTTGAATCGGTGGCATCCACTTCTAGTCTTTGAAAATTGCTCTGGCTCTGTTGAGATAACCTGCCAGCAACCGAAATAAGTTGGCACACCCCCAACCCTAAACCCTATAATCTTCAAGGTAGGCATCTGAACAAAGGCTTCCGAAGCAAGCACGTGCCATTTCTCCTGGCTTTGGCCGACTTCATCACATGCATTGGCGCCGGCATGACCGTCAAGTTCTTCAACCTTTTCTTCATCCAGGACCAGGGAGTCTTTCAGAACAGTCCCTGTCGGCCAATCCCCCAAAGTTGTAAGCTTGCAATATGGCATAGTCCTTTATGCGTACTATTGCGGATAACACTCGTTTTTTCCTAACACCACAGCCCTAGCCCTAAGCCCTGAACCCTGAACCCTAAACCCTAAACCCTAGACCTGCCTAGTCATCAGGTGCTTGAACCCTTGCACCTTGGTACTCGCGTAGAACTTAGCCTCCCTTGCGACTGTCCCACGGGGCTCATGCAGCAGGTATAGGAGGGCTTAAGTGGAGGGGTTTTGGGTTTAGGGATAGAGGTGTAGGGTGACATGATGTGGTGTTTTTGCTGAGGTGTGGGGTGTGTATATATGTATATATACATGCATTTTTTCTTTTGGGTGGGAGGGGGGGGGTGTTTGTCCAACTTGAGGAAAATTACTTCAAGGCCTGCCATGTCTAATACATTTTAATAACTGAGGCTTTGCCAATACAACCCTATATTCTACCACTATATAGTCGTAGTTTCCATCTTATTTTTCATTATCCCTATATAACCCTATATTATATCCCTACATTATACATACTTAAGGTCCAAAGGGGTTGGGAGCCCCAAGCCCTAAGCCCTAGACCGTGTTGAGCATGATTGACCCTCTAGTCTAAGGTTGAGAAACCATGGGCCCCTGGTATGGGCCCATAACCCTGGGAGCCTTATATACCTGCTATATACCCTCTATGTACCCTTAAAGGGTAGCATCCCACTAACAAGCCTAAAGGCCCATATTAGGGGCCCATACTTCTAACCTTAGATCTGTCTAGGTGTACCCTAAGCCCAAGTGAGCTTTCCAAGAACAGAGATCTTGTAGGGTCTTCCAATACGGCATACGAGCATTTCGGAAAATTGGGATCCTTGGTTGGGGTCCCTGTAATAAGGACTCTCGTATTGTGAGGTCTTTATAAGGTCCCCCTTGTTTCTTGAAACTACCATATAGGGTTTTGCGCTATTTCCTGGAGGCCCTTGTCGAATAATATCCTGATGTCAAACTCCCTGGCTACAACCAGATGGTAATCATTTCTTCCTTGGTCATGGGTCGCCACTAATTACAGGGCCTAAGCCCTAAACCCTATATCCTAAGCCCTAAACCTACTGTAGGGCTTAGGGAGCTCAATACTCCAAGCGAAATCTGGGATTGCTATCTGCTCGCAGAGGGATTCCTATGATTAGGTGTCCCTGCGAATGGGGGTTCGAGTATGTTTGGGGTTATGCAAGAGGGACCCCAATTGGGAAACCTCCCACACATATCTACACGGTCTAGGGTTTGGTAAAGGAGGGTCTGGTTTTTGCTGTTTGATGTCTTCTGGTCCATCTAGAGTTTGCGAACGTCGGTGGTCTTGCGGGCCTTATTCGTGAAAGCATACGTCGTTGATCGTGCTTAGATTTCCCGACAGGTGTCAGACGAAGCGATCAAGCTTTTGGAGGGAGAGTATGGAGGGACGCGGAAAGATTGTTCTCGATATTCTGGGTTGCTGTTAAGGAACTTGAATTAAGTTACTATATTGGGGAAACCCTATTATTTACTATACATATATATACCCATTATGGTAACTTAATTTAAGTCATGGACCCTGTCACTGTTTTAGGACGTGATTGTGCTATTGCTGAAGCGAGTTGCGAGCCCAAAAACGTGGTCCGTTGTTATTGCTCGCTTGGAGTTCAGATCGGTACCAGCCCTACAAGTCCAAGAGGATCCAACTGGTTTGGCTGTAGGTGTACAGTACTTCATCTGAATGGCTTTGGGTAGGTACTCGGAACCTTGGAGAACTGTGGAAGCACTGGCACGTCATGGGAATGCCTGGTATTTATCGTTGGGCTCTGGATTACGAACCGAGAAATTTCGCTTGACTGCCCTGCTGTCCAGGACCACCAATTTTCGCCAGTGGCCATAAGTTTGCTACAGACTGTCTATCCCTTGATCATTGTGGCTGGCCTGCAATTTGCAATGCTGCTTGTAAGGCTTGAAGGAAATGGGGCTTGCTTCGGAGCTTTGACTCGGGGCTTCTCTCAAAGGGCTACATATATATCTATATACCCCAGTAATGGAGAATCAAATGGAAAATGACATGGAAACTGCTATATATGTGTTGTTATAAAGACTATATATACTCTCAATGATCCTAGGGAAATATGGACAGTATTGAGAGATGACAATGTTTCCCGCCTAGGGAGTTCAAACGGATGCTTTTGAGAATCGGAGGGTCTGGGTAGCATGACCCGCCCCTCCCCACCCCTATTGTCAGAATGGCATTTTCCGCGGTGGGTTTCCCCTACATTCCCTCTCATCTGAGAAGCTCCCTTGTAGATTTTGAGTCAGGAAGAGAGTCTAGTCTGCTTGTGAAATTATTCAGGCCTACAGGCATCGCTGTGGACTTGGACCTCCGATACTCACGTAGCAGTAGCCTCTATACCCTCCGAAATGAGGGGTGTAGGCTACTGCTCACAGATACTTGAAAGGTCTAGAAGTGCTTCTTTTCATGCTTGCACGGCATTGAATTACTGGATGGCAGTTGCATGCTTGGGCACAGGGATATAATAAACCGTGAGGCAGTGAGGTCTTGTTATCTGAGAAGCTACTCGAACCCATAAGTCCTTGGCCCTAACCAGCCAATTGAGGTCGATTTCTCCTCTGGCTCCCTTAACCCAAACACCGCACCCAATACCCTAAACCCTAAACCGCATACCCTACACCCAAACCCAATACCCTACACCTTTTGGGACAGGCGCTGTTCATGAAGTTCACAGAGCGGCTGGCCAAGCCCCTGGGCCGTCCTCAGGCCCCCTTTCACAGGTTTTGTCTTACCTTAGGATTTGGGATTCGGGCTTTAGGGCTACATAGGGTAATATAGAGTCATATGGGGTAATATAGGGTTATGTAGGGATAATGGAAAAGAGAATGGAAAGTACTATTCAGGATTTAGGGTGTGCAAGCGAGGTCGCGCGCTCGGGCGTGAAGCGCCCCTGGCCGCGCGCGTGCGGCTTGCGTTGCTCGTAAGCCCACCTCGGCCACCCACACTACGGTCAATTGTGGTTTGAGGCTCTCTGCGTGCATGAACAATTGCTGAAACACCCAATCTCGCTGCGTGAACTGGACGTGCCAGTTTACAGGCTCAAAGAAAGGGCTTGAGTAGCCCCAGCCTTCCTCGGGCTGGGGCAGTGTATGGATTCGGCACAAGTTTTCTTGGTTTGGGGTTATGCAATATGTAATTTAGTTTCCCTAAATAAAGGGACCCCAATGTAGACCCCAAAATACTATAGTCCTTATTATAGGGACCCCTAAAAAGGTACCCCTAATTTTGGGAAACCCCCCATATATAGCTATACGCTAGAATTAGGGGAGGTATGTGGCCGGCCCCTCTATGAGGTTTCCCTAAGCACGGCTTGTGAGTTGGCCTGCGCAGGTCAAGGAGTTAGGGCTTAGGGTTTAGGGTACCCTCGGACAGATTAGGGTTATAGTCCCCCTTAAGTAGATAGAATATGGTGTATATTACTGGGGGTTATATAGATATTTTTGGGGAGTTATATAGGGATAATGGAAAAGAACATGGAAACTACCATATTATTATACCCTCACCTCTCCGCCCTCGGCTAGCGTTCGGGGACTTGCGTTTGGCGGCAATGACCCCTCACTTAGTTGGGTTTAGGGTATGGGGTTTTGGGTTTAAGGTTTGGGGGTTGGGGCAGGGAATCAAGGAAAGGATATTTACAATATTTGATTACAGGGTTTAGGGTTTAGAGTCTTTGGTTCAGGGTAGGGATTAAAGGAATGGATCCTCTTATAGTAGTCCCTATGACGGAATATAGTATTTTTCCCATGTTTCTTGTCCGATCTTTCATTCCCTGCTATCCAGACGTACAATTTTGGGAAGGTAGGACATCCAAGGTCCAGGTAGGGGTTACAGGGGATATACAAGGGGTATATAGGGTTTATAAGGTCTAGGTTTTTTGGGGTTTGGGTTTAGGGTGAGGTTTTAGGGTTTACTTGGGGGTCAGGGGGCTCAGTAAGTAGATCAATTATGGGGACAGCTGGGTCATCATTGTTGGAATGTAGGGTTTAGGGCTTGTTAAATTCTAGCTTGCAAAGTTTTTGTTGAATATGCTTCGGATTTCAAAATGAGGCTTGACGGCACGCCAGTGAGGTACTCCACACTCTTTGGAAGGTTCCAGGGCCCCACCTTACCTGGAGGGTCAAGGAGACTTAGTAAGTCAAGCCCTGAACCGCGATCTCGGAATCCTCGGCCCCAAGCTCAACTCCCCAGACCCCCAAATCCTTCTTTGGGGATATGCCCTATAAATTTGTAGGACAGAACCCCAAAAAGGAAGGACATCCTGGGTCCAGGTAAGGCCTGCCATATATATATATATATCCCCTACATCCTTTTAAAGGGACCTAAACTATCCCCTATAACCCCTTAAGGCCTGTATCTCCACAAGCTCTCAGCCGACCGCAGGCCTCCTTAAGCTTCTTCAGCGCGAATGTGGTTTGCCTTTTCCTGCTTGGCGAGGCTGAGCTCGAGGTTTTACCCCTACCGGGTTTGAGGGTTTAGGGTTTAGGATGCAGGGGAGGTTTACCCTTATCCCCAAAATATAATGGTATGATATAGGGTTTAAGGCTTTTGGGTTTAGGGTCTAAGGCTTTTGGGTTTGGGGTTTAGGCTTTTGGGTTTAGGGTTTAGGGTTATTATGTCCAGGGGTTAGGTACAATATAGGCTTATTTTGTAGGAGTAATATATTTAGGGGTATGATATAGGGGTTATATAGGGATATTGTAAAGGAAAATGGAAACTACAGTTGTACGCGGTATCCCCAAAGGGGAAGTACTACTTAAATCCTCGACCGTAATAGTGGGTCCATTGCTGTGAGGGGCCTAGAATTGGAGGCTCAGACTTTCTGCCTTATAGTGCGCAGTGACTCAGATGCACATTGGGCAGTGGCTCAGATGCAAATTGGGCATTAACTCAGTCAAAATCATATACCCTAAGCCCTAAAGCCTGCATGAGTCCCGGGCAAACTCCTGTGCCCCCTTTTATTGGCCCTTGTGTCCGGCACTCTTCCCTACTGGCCCTGTCTCTGAGAATCTAAATGATATAGAGGGGTCTCCCAAAATCAGGGTACCATTTTGGGGGTCCCCATAATCAGGACTGTAGTGTTATTGGCGACTCCTGTGTTTTGAATCTACCATAAAATGTGGGCACAAACAGGGTCCTACATTGGCACTTCGGGGATATGTGGTCTATCTTTTGGACACTGGACTGGACCACGCTTAGGATCTCCTCTGCGGTAAGGGATTAGGGCTTACATGATCCGAGAGGGACCGCGGCTTCATTAAACTTATCGCCAGACACAATGGCAAGGGAGAATCCTGAATAATTGCCGATAAGATCCGCTTGTACCCCTTGTTGTAGTGTTTTTTTGTAGCACAATTTGCAGTTGTGATTAACAAGCATCACTTGTCTCACTTTCGACGCTCTGACTTCGGTCCGCATGAGCACAAAACCTTATTCTAGCTAATTATTCCGGACCCTGCATTGCAGTATCTATGCAACCCCAACATAAATTCAGCTTCCATTTAATTGTCCAAGTTCTTTTCCACTTGGTTCTCCACCGTGCTACTTAAACAGGCCCCTGAAGTCTACATAACCCTACATATCCTAAATGATAGTTGCTCGAATCTGGAGGTGACATGGCTCCCCCTTCTGCTAGTGGTCTTCATGGTGCGAGGGGGCTTTGCCAACAGCACCTTTCCGATTGACCGCTCGATCCTTATGGACTACACTCCGTCCACCCAGCGCGGGATGTGGAATGCGAGCCTTGGACGTCATTTGAGTAGTATTTTATATGGGTATATGATGGTACCCAATATAGAGTAAAGATTATATCCTCCTTTTGGGTATAGTATTTTATATAAGGAATATAATCTTACTAGGTTCAACCACCAAAAAACACTACTAGTTTTGCGCAAAGGCGGACCCAAATCAGCAATGTATAATCCCTATAGACCCTTAGTGTCCGAAAGGGGCACCCTGCTTCAAGAGACCCATGTGTAGCCCAAATAGGGTTTGCCTCAGACCTACAAGACCTTCCGTTTTAGGATGCTAGTACACTTGCTTATTAGGGACTCTAATGCTGAGGGTGGTCGATCCTAGAACCAGGGAAGCGAATATCCTCAAATGCTGGGTCCCAATATTTGTACCCGGTGTGTTAATATAGCTGGCGCCGGAAATAGTCCACGATTTTGAGAATAACCTGGGAGGTAGAACCAGGTTGTAACTGATACCTCGCAGTCTACTATGATGAATGACGCCTATAGTCTTTCGTAGAAAGACTTTTGGTAGATTCTTAGCCTGGAACCCTGAGCCGTAGTCTGTGGAACTGTTACAAGTCGAATTCGTGACTGCTCACATAGCTGGGTCTGGTGCGGGTAAGGGTTCAGGATTTAGGGTTCAGGGCCGGGAGAATGCCAGAGAAAATGATAGTTACACTTTCCTTGGGCCACCGTACTTCTGAACAAGACTGGCATCGCTTTTGGCATTGATAAAGCCACTATTCCCTAAGGCTTGGCCCTCTTGGTAACCCAAACCCTAGCAATAAGGACCTGATAAGGTTCATAAGATAGTCCTTTCAGGACTGGGCTAGCCCAAGTCCCCTTATAGCCGAAGCCTCGAGCACAAAAGGAGCCAAAGCTTGACCTTAAACCCTAAGCCCCAAACCCTAAACGCTCTAAGCCCTAATCCCTAAATACCCCAAACACCTAAACACCCTAAACCAATCAACCCTAAAGTCGCTAAGCCTCGAACCCTGAACCTTAAATTGTAGTTTCCGTTTTTTCATACTTTCCATTATCCCTATATAACCCTAAATTATCCCAATATTAGCCCTAAACCCTAAACCCCTCAAGCCAGGATGAATCGAAATTGTATGCTCGCCCAGCCCTTTGACAGATTTCTCAGCAATAAACACTCAGTAAGGGGAGCCTATTTTGGGCCTTTTGGAGCAAATTTCGAATTCTTGAAGCGCATGGAGCCACGTCAAAAAAGGCCTGGGAACGTGGAAAAGGTTCAGAAGAGGCCCACCAGCCCCAAAAAACACAGAAAAGGCTCAGGACCAGAAGGCCAGAAAAAGCGCAGACAAGCACCGGAGCCCAGAAAAGGGAAGCAGAGGCCCAGAAGCCCAAAAAAAGGCCCAGAAGCGGCCAGGGGCTTCCCCAGGCTCAAGCAACAAAAACAACTCGCTCAAAAGTCGCCCCAAACCCCGCCCAAAACTCCAGACCTGAACCCTATATAATTTCTATTAACTCCAAACCCTAAATCCTAGATCCTAAACCCTAAGCCCTAAACCCTAAACCCCTTTTATTGAGGATCCAAAGCCTGACCTCAATGACTTGGAGTGGCAGCGCCTTCCTCGGGGGCCTTCTGTCCGACTCCCACGACTACAGGCTCCCGGCTCCCTTTTACAGGGGTTAATAGGGGCTTATAGGGGTTTTATGGGGGTTTAGGGTTTATAGGGTTTAGGGGTTTAGGGGTTATAGGGTTTTAGGGGTTTAGTTTTAGGGGTTTAGGGTTTGGGGGTTTACGGGGTTTAGGGGTTTAGGGTTTAGGGGTTTACGGGGTTTAGGGGTTTAGGGTTTAGGCGTTTTAGGGGTGTTTAGGGGTTTAGGGGTTTAGGGTGTAGGGTTTGGGGTTTAGGAGTTTCCCAAAATTAGGGTTAAGGGTGTAGGTTCGGTGATTCTGGGCTTCCCTGTAACATCAGATAGTAAAGGGGTTGCAGGGGCTACAAGGGGTTGAGGGTTTAGGGCCTTCGGGGATAAAATCGTCTGAAGAATGGAGATCGAACCAAATGGGGAAGTAAAAGAGACGGAGTGGCAGCTGGGTTGGAAAGGCCTAGTTCGTGGGACCCTGGGATTGCTATGGGGTGAGGGACCTATTTACAAGGAATTGTTTACACTAGGGAAGTTCCAGGATCGCAGAAAATAGGGTTTTGAGTTCAAAGGGGGTATCTGAGAGTGTGGGTGTGGGTGTATATGTAAAGTTGTATGTGTCTGTGCGTATTTTTGGTGGGGTTTCAGGCTGAGGGCTTAGGGTTCAGGGTTTGAGGTGTAATCTAGGGCTTATTATGGTGTATTTAGGGCCTTACATCTTAACTCACCAAAAATAAATCACAAAGTACATAGACAAAACTATGGTTTCATGGGCGGGCTTTTGCAGCCCTCTTACCCCGCCACAAAGTCTCACGCCCTTGAGAGGTACACCTTCGTCATCACGAGCCTCATCTATGCATCTGCGTGCGTCGTGTACACGCCCTTGCTGTGGCTCGTTCCCCGCAAAGAGAACCTTGCCTACTTCCTGGTGCTTAGGTTTTGGGGAACCAGGGAATAGATCCCTAAGGCAGTAGTACCCACATGGCGATCTCCGAGAATTGCTCTAGAGATTCCTTTTTGGGGAGTCCTATTTAGAAGGATGGCAGCATGTCGGGGTCTATACTGGGGTCCCTGTTTCTGGCAATCCACATCTCACCCTTCATTGGATCTTACTTCCTAAAACCCATTCCTCCATTCCTGACTAAGCACCATGGAGTCCAGAAGGATTGGTCTGTTTCTGTGGGTTGCACAGGGCCGTGGTTGCCAATAGCTGTGGTCTCCAAATCCAAGTAACCCTTAAAGTCCAGGTGCCCAAGAGATGGCATCTTTGGTCCCCACTGCCGCAATCTGCATGGTGGCTAGTAAGCCCTAAACCCTGAACCCTATGCCTACAATTTGGGCACGTGGAACCTCAGGGGAAGCCAACTCCATTCTATGGGTGACACCGCCCTAAACCCTAAATCCTAAACCTTAAACCCCAAATCCAAGCCCTAAGCCCTGAACCCTAAATCCTAAGCCCTTAACCCTAAACCCAGAAGAGCAGCTGAGGAAGGATGCAGCCGCAGTACGCACCTAGGAATTCCCGAGCTTCTGGGACTTCGGCAGGACTGGCTGCAGGCCACGGTGGGGTTTAGGCTTTGCAGGCACCATTTGGGAGCTTCCGTCTGCATATACATATACATATATATATACACATGTAATACTTTTGGATCCTGGGATATGTCGACGCTTCCGAAACTTCAGGGGTTCTGCTTGTCCATTTTCCGGAGTTCCTGTAATGATTCAATTTTCATTGGGTATATGAGGGGGATCCCTCTTTGCTGGAAGTGCTAATATTGGAAACCCAATTCATCGAAACAAAACCCTTGGAGCTCTCGGCTGACAGACGCCAGCGCTGGGTCCGGTCTCTCTGCCTATATGGTGGCAGCGCTTACGTACTACGTGCGGCTGAAAAGACATGTCTCAAGTATTTTGGATATGACGATGCTCCATGACCACAGTATACTCTGGTACCATATTCCGGAGGCATGTGCTACGTAGGGTTTGGTTGATACTAAAAACTAAACAGCGTGCGTCAGCTCAGTATATTAGAGCACCATGATTACCAAGCGACAAGGTACAGAAGAAGAAGGTCGTCCATGATGTTGAGTATCCAACGTAGCACTCTTCAAATTGACTACATACAAATTTACAAAATCCAGCAACCGTATTCTTGTTGTAGTTTGTCGACCCTGAACCCTGACCCTGAAGCCGCAGACCATTTTTGGGTCCCTGCAGGTCGAGACTTTGGGCGTGTCCAGAACAACGAGGGGTGTGAATTCATGGGCTGTTGGGCGCTGTTGCGCCTTGCTCCCAGCAAGCTCTGTGTGAGAGTGCACTGTGCTGACAAAGACATGGGTTGCTATCAACACTACAGACTACAGCCACACTTTCAAGGGGTCCCTTAACAGGGGTCAAATAAGAAGGGTATGTAGGAATATATATACGGATAACGTTTTTGGGGCCCTTGCGGGTGGTACCGATGAGAGTGATGCACTCATTGGATACAGAACTACAGATGGGCCGCCGAATTTCTGGTTTGCTGTTAAGGAACCTAAACTGATTTTCTACAACAAGGAACCAATGAGCTATATGCCCATACTATGGTAACCTAATAGACCCTATATACTCAGGTCATGGTAGCTTAATTTAAGTTCTTCAACAGATCCCCTTCTGATCCGCATATGATCTCTAGTCTAAGCTCCAGGGGGGATATATAGGGGATTGAATAGCGGGGTACTACCTTAGGGTTGCTAAGTTCCCAGAGTTTTTTGAGAAGCCAGATATCTCGTGCCCGATACCCTAAACTCTAAACCCTAAATCAAAGCCTTTTGCAGTAGCGGTTGAGTATTTGTACCTCTCTTGCCAAGGTTACTCTAGTTAGGGCTTAGGGTCAGAGATGGAGGTCCCCTACGTAAGCCCGAAATCTATTGGCCATTATGTTGAACCCCTGAGAAGGCAGGCACCTCCAATTTCGAAGCCCGCAAGTGGGCTTGTAGCAACTAGTGCTAAGGTGCGCCGAATGTTTGACATATACAAGAACTGGTGGCCAGTAGATCATACAGTACTCACCACCTGGAAAAACGTGTTGCGCTTGCTACTGGACAGTCTTTGACATTTTTGTCATTATAGGAATGCGCGACGACACCTTGAAGAGCTAAGCTATGCCAACGATATTGGCCCAAAGAGGAGATACAACCTGTCGCGCACAGCCCGTGGCTGTTTAGCACAGTTTTACTGACCAGCAAAGCGCAGTGCACCGTGCTTGGCTGTGCGGGTAGAAACATGCATGTGCCGAGAGGCGAAGCACACAAGTTGATGAGCCAACGGGTCAATCAACACAAGCTGAGTGCACAGTGACTTCAGCTCTCGTTGCGATCCTGGGAGGGTGCAATGTATTTTCAGCTAGAATAGTATGGCTACCATTTCTTGTCCATTTGAGAATGCTACTGCGTAGGGAAGAAAATTACAACCGTTGGATCTCTGCAGCATTTAGACGCGCGCCAAAAGCCAAAGAGGACAACCTCAGAGAGGTCCGAAACATTCGTTGAGAAGAGGTACTTGGAAGCCTGACGCCATAAACATCCTTAAGCCTGGAGGGCTGCGGTCCACAAGTTAGGACTCCCTTGCTTAAAGTCCCAAGGATGAGTATACCAAACCCCGAAAGTATGTAAAACAATGGCCTTTCACCCTTAAAAACAGCCCAAAGGGCTATAATTCTACATGCTTTAGGGGTCCAGGTAGTATGTTAGAAAGCGTCCCTGATTTTTGGGAGTCTTCAAACCTGTTTGACTGCCTCATACTCCCTAAGCCCTGAACCCTGAACCGCGTCGGGATCGTAACGAGATTCATTTTCCAAGCCGCAGGCACCAGCCCCGAGGCAATCTCCCGACATGAGTCACACAGTTCACGGCGTAGACCTCGAGTTTTCAGTCTCCAGACCATGGCAGAATTCCAGAGGGCCATGTACTCAATAATTAGGTACTTGGGCTTGGCTAATAGTAATTACAGTACAGGTTTTGGGTAAGGATATGATTATTAAGTACTTGGACCCTTAGGGAATTTGCTCGCCTCTTGCTATTACTGTAGTCTCCTCAGGATTTAGTTTTAGTTTTTCTTATACTTGACCCTAAGGAATTATGGTCAATTGATATTCTCTACTACAGATGGGTTCTACAAGGTTAAAAACAGGCTTACAGAGCGGTCACGGATTTCATAGCTGGTTCTTGAAGGGCTCGAGCTCTTTCTGGGATTCTAGAGGCTTTATGAAGGAATTTCAGATAGGGCTTATTGAGCGAAATAGAGGGTTGCTAGAGAGTTTATCAAGTTGGTATAGGGTCTTTTTGAAGCTTTACACGAGGTGCATAAATTCTGTAGAAGGTCTATAAAAGGTTAAAGAATTTCCTGGAGGGTTCCTACAGGGTTTCTAGCGGCTTTGTAGAGTTTTTTTGCGGGCTCGTAGAGCTTCCCTGCCGGATGGTCCTGTGGCTCCGCGGCCTGGTCCCGTGGGGTTATAGGCGTTATAGGTATGGCCTCATCCCCCATCCCCAGATAACGACCATACCAAGGGGGGCGGGAGGAACTGGGAAAACGGAGCATGGACGCATATACACCTAGGGTCCCTATGGCCCCCCTGTTTCTGGTTACTATATTGGAGAAGCCCTAGGGCTTCTAGTATGTATTATATATACCCATTATGAAAACTTAATTTAAGTTCCTCAACATCAACCCAGTTTTTTGAGAACTCCCAACTCATGATTACTGCATCTCGACCGTTGTCTTTTCTGACCATTGTGAATTTGCTGAAGGAGTACCGTAGCCCAGTTACGACTAGACAAGGACATATCATGATAAACATGCCTATGAGAACCCTGATAATTTGATCCCTTATGCCGTATATACCTTAGTTAGTTTAACTTTGATTTCAAGAGATGTGGGCTCTTCAGGCAGGGGTGGCTCACTGCAGCAGTCTGCCTAAGATAACCAGCTATAGGCTCTCATGGGGATCAGATCAACGCTTAAGATTTGGGAGGTTATGTACACAATCCCTATAGAAGGCCTATGGGGGACTCTTCGCCACATGTTCCCAGAATCCCCATATGTCCCTAGGGCCCTTGGCGCCCCCTCCTCCCCGGCTTTGTCGCCTCCTCCCTGACAACCCTAGGCTGTAAAGCCTGCATCCTAATTCAGACCCTTGCTTAATAAAGCCCCTCCGCTTAATAGGCCTAGAAGGAGGGGGTTTATTAATCATGGGTCTACATTATCCATAGGTTATCCATGACCAATCATGGCTTCACATTAACTCTCAGGAGATTTGGGGATATACCAGCGTAAGCTTGACCCGCACAAAGCCAAACCCTTGAACTGTGCTTGCTCATGATCTCGAAACCCTCTTGCTCACACCCGTGCGCTCGGGAGAAAAGCTGCAGACGAGCCATGGGCACTGCAAAACACAACTACATAGCCACTGAACCCCCAAGCCTTATAGTCATCTCTGAACAGAAGCAGTAAACCCTTGTCGAAGTTCATTGCCTAGTCCCTACGTAGCATTCGTTCTACTTGTTTCAAGTCCACCCATTTGTTCTACTTGTTTCAAGTCCACCCACCCCTACTCCCACAAAGTTTTGGATACTAATCTCAGTCGGAGTCTATCCGGCAAGAATACTCAGAAGACCTCTCTACGTTGCTTCACAGGTACCTGAATCCCAAAAGTATGTAAACAAATGTCCTTTTGGTCCATGTTTTGATGTTTGGGGCTGTTTTTTTTACCAACTTGTAGGGTTCACGTAGGGTTCACAAGCACACCGGCCTCTGCACAAACCCAAACCCCAAGGCTCCAAGTGTCGACGCAGAATGTGCATCAGGGCAGTTCCCAAAATTAGGGTCCCATTTTGGTGCCGTAACCTATAACCAAAAGGGGCCCGTTATTT